CGGGGAGGTTCACAGAGAACTGTCTCCCGTGGGAGGGACCCCACGGCAACGCAAGGGAAGGACTCCTCTCCCTCAGCAGCTGCAGATCGATCCGGTGATGAACTGACCAACCCCACACCCTGAACTGACCAACCCCACACCCTGAACTGACCACCCCCCCCCACCCGGTTCACCCCCCCTGCTTTGCACTTCCTCCCCTCGGAAGAGGGGAGAGAGTGGGGAGAAGATCGGTGTCTTTGAGGGTTTTATTTCTCATTCTCCTCCTCTGACTTTGTTAGTAATAAATTAATTTGGTAACTTAAGCAGAGCCTGTTTTGTCTTTCAAAGTGTTTCTTCCCTGTTCCTTAACTCATGAACCGTATTGCTAATTTTTTTTTTTGTTTCCCTTTGCTCTTCTCTGCCCAGTGGTGGTGGAGGAGAGGAAGTGAGCAGGTGTTGTGGGTGCCTGGCTTTGAGCCAGTGTTCTAAACCATGACAAGCATTTACCCTGGAGCATATTGATAACAACCCCAAAAACTATCCCTTGTGCAGAACATTCAAAAAATGAAGGGAACAGCCCTCAGCCAAAAGGCTGTTTCCCAGACCTGCCATCAGTAGGCTCCAGAGCCTAAAATGAATGAAAGCGGGAGGTTTATTGACATAGTCTGTGAATATCAATGGGCAATGATTTGCAAAACAGGATAATTTACTAGTATTGAAACTGGCAGTGGGCGTGACATACTTGGCACATTTTTAACATACTTTGCATATTTTATTTCATACTTTTTAAAAGGATATGCAGTAATTGATCTGTATTTAGTGAGAGTACAGAAAAATGTTCCTGGAAGTTGTAGCCTGTGTCAATACAAAAGGATGGCAAAATTAAAAGAGGCCTATTAAAATTGATTAATCTCTTCAGTAGTAATTACTGTGTGTGATATATTATTCACAAATAACCGGATACCTGTACATTTTTACTACATCTTACAAGATCTTTGTACAGTTAAAGATAGAATTTAAGTCTTTATCTCTGATCAGCAAGGTCATCTTAACAATTAATGAAATGCACAGATAAATTTTTCTGGTTTTCTTTTTTCTGGTACCTCACTGTGGACCTTTAACAGTGGTGCTCCAATGTTGAGATATGCTACTCAAAAGTTTAATTATATGGAAGTGGCAAGAAATACCCACCATGAGCATTCTTTTGGTTCAGGGAACACAGACTACTGTGTACAAACCCTGCTGTACCTCTGTTTTTAAGAAGAATGTTAAGCATTTTCATTGACATCTATTTAGCTTATGTGTTTTGTGTTGAGTGTGTAAATGCACTTGGAGATCCTGAGGCCGTCTCTGTGAGCCCTTCAAAACTGYAGAACTGCTGCTTCAGTCTTTTCATACATGGAAAGTTTGAGGGACCAGTGTGACAGATGCTTTTCAACCTAAAAATGAAAAATAAAAGAGATGTCAACCCCAAATTGCTAATTAATTTTTTTCTTAGAATATATAATGATAACTATATGTTCATAGGAGAAATTAATTTGATTTGCAGCTCTAGCAATTAAACAAATCCCATGTATTAAAGAAATCCAAACTAAACTTTTAAAACAAATATTTGAGATCCCACAGGCATCAGAATCCATGATATCACATAACTTATAGTTTATACAATYATCAACTGGCTTGTACAGCTCTAATTCATGAAGGGAGATCATGGGATATGTGGAATAACTATGAAAGACAGCATGGGATGGGTGAATCTTTCCTAAAGCAGGGTTGTGTTTCTGTGTTTCTAGCCACCCTGTACAGGTGAGTTGCCTGGAGAAAGGGGAAATTCTGGCCCCTTCCTCTCAGCCCTTTATGGAGCTGAACAGAGTTGCTCACTATGGAAAGAAATGAGGAAGGAAAAAATACATGCCAAGCTTGGCTCCAGTTTACTC